AATTTATGGGTGAATGAATTTCCAATAGCGTCACTAAATCATACTAAAATAAATTTTATTCTTAGACACTTTATTTTATAAAAGATGCATCATATTATAATTTTGTAAATTGTTTTACATGTCAATGAAGACATGAGGTACTAAACTTGTCAACATATTACCTTTAAAAGAAGTTACCGGTGAAAAAATGTTTACTGTCCAGTCTATATAGTAGTTAAATATCTCTGGTACGTACGAGCGATGGCGCGCACGATGGCGGGCGAGCCGGGCGGCGTGTCCTTGGCCACGGCCACCAGCTGCTTGCTGCTCTCGTCCTCGGAGGGCCGCACCGTCAGCGTGTGCCGGAAATCTAACGGAGAGGAGATCGTGTCCTTCTTCAGTAGCTTTATCTTGCTGAATTTGCCTGGAAACAAATCATATATCTGTTGGACAAGGACGGATGGGTTGAGCTCACTCTCGCTTACGTTTACTATGCATATACCTTAAGGATGTCGCCAAAATTGTAAAATAAATATATAAATTAGTTTAAATGTTAAGGACCTGTCCCACTACTGCCTGATACAGCCTCAGATAGCTTAAAAGTGACGTCACTGTCAGAGAGAGTACCAAAATCCGATATTTCATCACATATTTTATACGTTAGTCTGACTATTTACAAGAATTGTGGGACTCGAATATGACTTGTAAATTATTCATCATAGCATTGTCTTTGAAATATAAAAATCATTTTAACTACTGCTTTTAAGCAATTTATTTAATTAATACTATCGTTTTAAACTCAGAGCAACACTTCTCGTCAGGACTCAGGATAGCGCGCCAATCTAATTCATCTAATGAACATTGACAGCTGTCAGTTAGAGATGTGACGTTTATGTCAAAAATCTAGTGTTGGGCCTACCTATGAAATGAGAGGGATGTCGATACAAGGGAAATGGATTGATCATCACCTTATCCCCATACTTCAGATGATATTATCCGATTATCTTAGGATGAGTGGAGCAAACGATCAGGGCGAACACCCAAGATCAGCAATACCAAAGAAACTTGAGAGGGTGATATTGTTATGGAGAGTGACAAGGATAGAATACAAAGGTACCCTTTCGCTTGTTGGGCTGCGGCGGCTGCGTATGCGACATGTTGCTGGCGAAGATGAGTATATGCAGCTCTCGCGCTGCCAGGTTGATCTCCCGCATCTCCAGCTCGCGCTCCTTCTGCGCCAGGTTCTGCTCCAGCAGCCGCTGCTGCAGCTGCGCCCGCGTCAGCTCCTCCTCGCGGCAGCGCAACTCCTGGACGGTACCACATCACAATTTTTAAGAGTTTGGATTTTTAATAAAATAAACATAATAAAAAGCCCCACTCTATGCTGTTTAGTGTTTCTTCTTGTTTACTCTGATGTTCTTATTTCAATTAGTTTTTTAGTTTTTTAGTTTTCGCTTTTATAAATTATCTTACTACACATCTACACAACAGAAATAAGTGTTCTAATAAAAAAAAATAACGGCTCCACTGCTACTATTACAAAAGCGTCAAAATTATTATTTTTTTTGTTTGATTGTTTTTCGCCACTATTTTAACATTTACTGTACTAATATTAAAACAAATATAGATATACAAAACAAAATGTACATACATCGCTACAGTTCAACAAAACAACTAATTACAATAGTTACTAACCTCTTCAATAGTTTTGCATTCCTAAGTGCACGCATTGTGTATAAAAAAGCATTTACATGTTAGTTTAGACATAACATTTTTAATTTCAATATAAGATTTTTAGTTTGGTATTCGCAGATACTTTTATAAATATAAGTATAATTCCATAGACAAAGACATTTACGAAATACATAGACTCGACATAGTGATTTTTTTCACTGGTAACTTCTTTCAAAGGTAACATGTTAGTTGTCAAGTTTAGTACACCACCTCATGTCATATTGACATGTTATAAAACATTTTACAAAATTATAATACACTCTATCTTTTTATAAAATAAACTAAACAGTGTCACAAAAAACATAAACATAAATATGCTTTAGTTGGCAATACATTTAAAAAAAAAATTATTATAATGACAATGCGTTAGTGGATCATGTAAAAAAACTCGAGTGAAGTGTCAACTATGCTTCATCTATACATTTTTTAAACTCTGTTCACACATTTTGTACATCTACACCAAATTGATATTTTAAAGTGGATTACAATACCTTCTCTTTCCTGCGCAGATCGCGTAGCACCTCCTCTATTTCCAGGCGCCAGCCATCCTGCATCGTGTGGAAGGACTCGTGGGGCGCGCGCGTGAACTCCGACTGCCTGATATGGTCCAGCTGCTCCAAGATCTCAGGGAACAGCGGCCTCTCGCGGGGATTCGAGTGCCAACATGCTGGAATACAAAATTACAACATATAGTACCACTTACATCAAAGTGACAATTTGAGAACTATATTAAGATTATAAAGAGTAAAGTTTTTTTTTTACATGTATCGAAACAACTCAAAAACTACTGGGCCGATTTCAAAAATTATTTTACCATTCAAAAGCTACGTTATCACAAAGTAACATAGGCTACATTTATTATTATTTTTTAATTTCACGCGAACGAAGTCGTGAGCAACAGCTAATAATATAAAGAGGAAAGATTTGTATATTTGTATGTATTGAAATAACTCAAAAACTCGGGCGATTTCCAAAATTAATACCTTAATAAAATACATTATCAGTGAGTAACATAAACGCAACGAAAGTCGCAAGCAACAGCTAGTGCTTCATATGTTGTGTACCTTCCATAAGCACTCTCCAGGGCTCTGGGCATGTGCTGGGTATAGGCAGGGTGAGCTTGTTGACAGCGACGCCGTATGCAACCGCCAGTGCGTCAATGCCCTTGTAAGGCGTTTCTCCAGTCAGCAACTCCCACAACAGCACGCCATACGACCACACGTCAGACGCGTGCGAGAATGTCGAGTTCTTTATCACCTGGAATACACATTAAAACGATACTTTAAATATGTTTAAATAATAATAAACAATCTGGGAATTAGATTTAGTTTATTTAGACTTTGACCATCACTAGTGTCAACACAGTTGAGCTCCAATCCATCGATACCTGCCCACTCTCTGGCCCTGAGCGGGCGCATTAGCATTTAAAGTAAATTACCTGTACCGACTGTCACTAAGGCTGCCGTTAATCGATATCGACAAGCAAAACGTCGACATCACGCCCGCCGGGGGCAACACTACCGTGGGAAACAGTTATCGTGTTTAATATATCTCGTTACTCTAAGTGGATTATAAACTGGATCGAGAGACTATTGCGTGTTACTTTTTTAGTCTATACATTTTAGTATACAAATACCGATATAATTTAATACCACAAACATTTGTTAATTTGGTAACTGCCATAGTTTAAGAGTACAAGATTCTAAAAATGAAAAAGATAATGGAATTACAGCGTATATCCAAAATTGCGATGTTATAATATCAAGAAGCTTATATCAAGCCTTTTACAGTACCATCCAAGCTTTATCGCGGCTTGGAATAGGTAATTTCCGGTATTAACTGGACAGACACGAGACCACATCTGACCACGAATAGCTTTAAGTTATGAATATTACAATACCTCGGGTGGCATCCAGGCGTATGTCCCTGCAGCCGACATTCTCGTTGTCTTGTAGACTTCTCTTGCGAGGCCAAAGTCTGTGATCTTCAACGTCTTGTCCTCTAACGTGTCGTCAGGCAGGATAGCTTCGCTCAGCAACACTGGAATATAAAAAACAACAACATTACATCTTTCTTAATTATAACAATTTATAGCAAAAACTGAGGAGTCTTCCAGTAACTAAATATCTTTGACTACCTTAATCGGTATAGCCTTTGTTTAAATAGCTCAAGATGAAATTAAAACTAGATAAGATTAGTTTGAAGCGTTATTCAATAAGTAATAAGCCTTCGAGTATGTAGGCCAAGCTGTAGGTTACGTCAATCGCAGAAAAACTGACATTGACAAAGGAAAGTGCGCGTGGGCGGCCACGTGGGTCGCTAGACGTGTGACCCGCGCGGATGAGGGCGTTAACTGAGGTCATTTGATATACTTAATTACATAGTCGTTATAACATTTAGGTTACAGCTTTATAATATTTGTCTAATAACTGGGCGTCTGTTGAAAACGACTGTTGATGTAGTATTTTACGAGTTAGGCTAGTTTAATCTTTTGCTAAGTCTATTTTATAGAAAATCGATTATTATCCAGACCGATTCGCCCATCTGAAAGTTTTATAACTAGTATAATCTAAGAATAGACGAATTGTCGTTTTAGAAATGGCTAATAATATGGCTGATACATGTAGAAATAGTTAAAGATTATTTTTTTTAATAAAAAAACAAAATTATAATAAATACTTGATGCTTCGAAGTACTTTGAAGACAGTTATTTCTGCTGCTATCTCAATTCTAACTTGCGGTTTTTAGTATAAACAAAAATAAAAATTCTACAAAAGTGTATCCTAACATCCATATCAAAAAAAACGAAAACGTATAAGATGCGACCTTGGCAAAGCATCGCGGCGTATTTCCCGTAACGTACGCAGCTGACGTGACCTGCACCGTAAAGCCTTACGTATCTCCCCACTGCGCTTACAAAGTTACGCTGCGTTTAATATTGAAATGTTAGACGTACAAATATACTGTACAATTTTTCGTATATGAGATACTTCTTTCTTAATCCTTTCGTCCACCCATTCGGATCGAATTTCAATTCCCAAAGGAATTCCAAGACTATCTTTGATTTCCGGGCACATTCCTATTGATTTTGACTGCCTTATATTGTTTTTATTTTTCAATAAAATGATGACAACGTTCCTCTGCAGTCAAAACCCACTGTTAGTCAAAATAATTGTGTTAAATATGAAAAAAAAAATGTACATAATAAAATAGCTATTATTAAAAATGAAAGTTTCCAATCGTTCACTGCGTCGTCTTATAAACTATAATAAGCGCTAGGTAAGCGGCACTATAAAGATATGTCCAAAGACAACGGCTACAACTTAATCACGCTCTATCTAGCATCAAGGAAAGTGAACCGGTTAGAACCGCTTATAAACCGGTTTCTACTGGTATAAGGCGGATGGCGGAGTCAAAGAGAACAGGCAGCAGGGACCGATTCATACGTCAATCAGGTGTCATACAAAGAGGCGCCATAGTTGTGCTCAAATGTTTGATTGTGACACGGAAACGTAAGGCTCTCTACACAACGTGATAAAACGATTGATAGTTGAAAAAAAAGCCAGCTTTTTCCTTAGATATAGCCGAGATAATCGTCTGGTGATGCCCACGACACCACCAAATCCTTCAGCGGACACGTAACGACTCTGCAGTCTGTAGTTCCACTTATGCGCTTTTATTTTTCTCCAGGTGTATCGCTTCAGTGTGAAAGGGCCTTTACTAAACTAAACGGTTTTTGTATCTTTGGCTGCTAATGTATTGTAAGTGCGTCGATTTGACAGGATAAATAATGTGGTTCTATCGGTGAATTTCTGATTTAAAGCTGAATAATAGAACAAGGATATTCTATGTGCTATTATATCTTCTTTCAGAGACAAGAGAAACTATCAAATTGTGGTTAATCGTTAAATATGAATTATAGGTAATCAAATTCTCGTGCAAATGCGGACAACGGCACATTCAATATCCGTATAAGTGTAAATGTTGTCGCGCCGCTCGTGTTGTTTTCGTAACGCATTGCTCAATAATTTAACATAAACTCGATTATTTGAACGTTCAATGTATTTATAAACGTCTTACCATCGAATAAATTTAACCATTCACAAATTGTTATTGTTTTAATTAATGCTTACAGTTTGAATTAATTTATATAAATAATATGTATCCCCTGTAACTTTACCCGCAATGAATTAAAAAAAAATGCCTATGCGTTCTTCTAGGATATGTTTTAAATCCTAAGACAAATTTCTCAGAGATTCTTTAAGCCGTACTAACAAACATTCATTTAAATTTTCGCATTTGCATTTTATGGTCCTTCGAGACGGATGAAAATCGTTTCAACTACAATTTACAGAAATTCAAAATGGATATGGATCCAATTTAAAATTCGAAACACGTTTCAGACCTTCCATAACACCACTCATCACCAACCTTTACAATCAAAAAAATATAGACCACCCAATAGCAACATTAATGTTCATAATCTTAAGGTAATCGCCATCATGTGATCAGTGTACTATAATAGTTGAGGCGTCAGACGTCAGAGGTACCAGGTCGGAGGCAGCACGTCCTCATAAATAATGCAGGCGGCGCTCGGGCGGGAAATACGTGCCGACAGGATACAGATCCGGTTCCTCCGGACTACCATCACTCAGTAACGCATTAATTATATCTTAGATGCAGTCGTTTTTTTATTGATTAGTTGTCCGTTAAACTTAATGTCATAAAGTCACTTTATCAGGCATTATGTCCCGCTCGGCCTGTGCATTACCACTATCACACAGAAAACAGACATTCAGTGGAAGAATTTCCGCGTCTTGTCTTTTGTTTGTGCCAGAGGCATAATTTTATTTTTTTACGTACTACAGTTAAATCAGATGACACAAAAGTATTGAAACAAATTAATTTGTCTGGATTTCAATGGCTTCAATTCTCTTAGTCAATTCGCGTATTATCTTTTGATTCGGGACATAACTTCAACTATCTTTAGTACATTAAGGCAATTTGGATGCTATCTGGGCCCAATCTCGCCTGAGGCGGTTCGGAATTACCTCGGCCGCTATCGGGATGTTGCTGCGCTAATGGGCCCGCCGGGGGCTGTGCTGCCTCTTGTTGGCTTATTGCGATCACGTTTATGGAATGCGAAATGTCATTACGAGGGGAATTAAATAGCATCTGTTAACTTTAAAGCTTACAACAAGTGGTAATTAACCGCTGAAATGAATTTAGATCTTTGAGATTGATCCGAAAATTGCTTGGTACGAAATGGAGAAAAAATTAGTCTATAGCCTGCGCTTGACGTTAGGTCTAACTAACTTGAAGAAACACTTAAAACACGATCTGTTAATAAATCATTTAACAATAACTGTTTATGGTTATTACAAGATTATACGAGAATTTGGCGGTAATATAACTTCAAAACAGCTACAAACTTGTCTTATTAAAAGATTTGGTAAAAACCACTTAAATGATTTCTCTCGAGCCGCTCACATGTATTCTTATCGTAATGACATCTACACGGGTCGCGCAAATTGCGCATAATCAAGCAAAACCTGTCTCTCTTCTCATATAATCAAAAATACTTAGGCAAAATTTAATTTAACATAAAGCAAATTGAAAATATAAAACAATCTCATATTGATTTACTAGAGAAGATTTTTTAAGCAGACCTTTAATTCGATTTACCATCCTAAACCTACACTAAGCGCCTTCCTTAATAATAGTAGTCCATAGTAGTTCTTATTGTAACAATAAGAAAGTTAGTATTCGCAATTGCACTTTGTCAAACAATTTATTCGACTTCAAATGAAATAAGACAAGTATAAAATTAAATTCTGTCACATTTTATTACATTGTAAGATATTGAGACAATAAAAATATCCAAGTAAAGTTTCATTTTCATTCTTGGATATCTGTAAAACTTTTGCACAATAAATCGGTGCAGACATTTGGCAACGATGGCTTGAATTAATTCGGTCTGCACCGACAATGGACTTTATTGGGGGGGAGGGTTTGTCCTTTGCCAAGAGGTGTTTGTGTAAACCTTTTTGTATAGTCTGAGCTACACACAGAGGACAACGATGTATACAAAGTTGTGTATACAGATTGTTATGTTCGAAATTCGAACTCACTCGATTAACTATTGTACTTAGTACGATATCGATTATAACGTAGTGAGTTATGGCAAATAAAACCGTAGAATTCAGCTGAACGCCTAGTAAACAATTACTATTATAAATTAATTATTGGGCTTTTTGACGCTTGATATTCCCTGTCCTGTCTACACATTTACAGTATAGGTTTTTCGAATAATATGTTTGGAACATTCAATCTTACTAATCATACTTCATACAAATATTATAAATGCGAATGTTTAGATGGATGGACGGATGGATGTTTGTTAGAGTTTGTAGCCTAAACGGCTGAACGAATTTCGATGAAATTTGGCGTAGACGTAGAAGACAGTTTGGAAGAACACATAGGCTACTCAGTTTTGTTTTTTTTTTTAATTCCACGCGGACAGAGTCGCGGGCGAAAGCTAGTCCTACATAAAGTGAATAAGGCTACTTTACTAGTAGCGTTTGGCATTTTGCGAAACTTTAGTCCGTTCTAAATATCGCGATAGCAATCTTGAAATGCACATATCTGTACCCGCAAGTAATTTGTCATTTGTCTAACTAGGTTTGGACATTCGGTTAATGTTAAAGTAAATAATATCAAATTGTATTACAAAGTCCCTCCTGGGATCCAATAATTGCTCTTGAACAGTCCTTTTGGGGTGTTTAGTCATCTATACTATTATAATAAAGCGTAAACACACACTTCTTTGTTGCCTAAGATGTCAGCAATTACAGCATATTTTTGAATAATTCTTTTTTTTAATAAAATTACCTACATTTACGTCACGCTATAGGCTACATATTTTCACGCCGTTAAACTTAGGGGTAAATATTTTGGATACAAACCCAAATGTGGAAAAGAGACTATAAGTTGCTGCCAACATCAAGGAAGCAAGATTGCTAAAGTTTGTCATCTCATGT